ACTGCTTGGTTGCTTTGGTGTGCCTGGTAGAGTTTTCCAAATGGTTGCTTTACGACCTTGTCTGCCTATGTGTGAATTATACATTTTGATAACACTGTTCAATACGTTTTTGGCCTCCTCATCAACCACTCGATTTCCGGGCAGAGGATCCAGAAAATAGACAGTTTCCTTCTTTGCTCTCACAACGAACAAGACCCAATGACGGCTGGACAAAATTAATATAAAGGTTAAACAGTTTTACACGCAGTGCATCATACAAACAAAATACTGTTAAGGAGACTAACCCTGGATTGTAAGGCATCATGAAAATCTGTTCACCATCTGTCTTTTGAAGTCGATTGGCTACCAAACGTGATCATTCTGTTAATGACCCAGCGTTGGCAATAACTTGAGCAGGGTTGATAAAGCTAACCATGTTCAACATATTTGCAGCTTTCAAATTATCAAATAGGCACCTAAATACATATATGAAATGATCACATGACTTTTTTTTTTTTTCAACAGAAAGGAGAGTGTGAAATAAATATTTGATAAGGACAAACCTCATATATATTGCAATCACAGTAGCCCCAATTTCTTCCATGCCTGCAAACTGTGTAATATCTTCATGCAAGACGAAGGTACTACAATCTTCACCAAACACCTCCTTCTCAATTGTAAAGGTCATAATCTTCTCCTGAGGCTTTAGTGTCGTTTCCACATAACGACAAAGGGATTGTAAAGAAGATGGCACCTCCAACTTTGAATAATCAACTACTTCAATATTCTGTTTAAAGAAATAAAGCAAAATAAAATGACGTGGTAATTCAATAAACACGACGGTTTAAAGAAAACAACGTCGTCTGATAAATAATTTAAACGACGGTAACAAAACACTGTCGTGGTGAATAATTTATTACTTCATAGAAAACAAATTCCAACGTCTAATTAAAATGCAAAATTCATAGATAATGAATTTACCACAATTTCCTTTTCTCCACCACTGGATTTCTGTTTTAATAAATAAAGAGAGATATATAAGAAAGCTTGTACAACAATTTAAAAATTCAATTAAAAACAAAACTGCCTTGGAAATTTAAAACAAATGACAGTTTAAAGAAAATATCGACGTATGAAATTTGAAAAACAAATAAAAAAGAAAAAGTTATGAGAATTTACCTTTCCATCTTGCTTTTCTTCATCTTGCTTTTCATCTTTCTTTTCGTCATCTTGCTTTTCTAAATCCCTAGATTTCTGTTTTAAAAAATAAAGAAATATATATATATAAGACAGATTGTACAAAAAGTAAAAAAAATTAAATTAAAACGTCGTGGTGAGGCATAACATAAGACGGTATGTAAGAATTACGGACGTCTTAAAATCATTAAACGATGGTAAATAATAAACGTCGTGGGATTTATCTATTACGTCAGTAAGGACTAAAACCGTCGTCTAAATCACCATAAAAGTTTTCAAAAATAACGACTTCTATTGGTGTGTAAAACAAGTAAACTACGGTTTATTAATAAAATCGTCATGGTATGTATTTCAAATGACAGTTTTATTAACAATAACGACGTCTAATAGCTTTTTAAAAAAACAGAGAATTCAAAGTTCAGAGATGTTACCATTTCATCCTGCTTTTCCCCATTCTTGGCAGTATCATCCTCTAAATGTAGGGATCTCCCATCAAGAGCCCCAGAGCAGCTTGCTTTGTTCGACATTGGATTTTTGGGACTTTGCCCTTGACCTTGGTTTTGACAGGGGCTAGTTTTCGGTTTAAGCATGCTTGGATCAAAATTGGGGATGAGTTGGGAAAGCTGACTCAGAATATTTTCCCTCCCAGCCTCGACGTAGTAATATTATTCACACGACGCAAAAATATAACAGAAGACGTAATAAAAATTATCACGGCAATACACAGTTTAATAAAAATTTAAAACAGAGTGAGTGGGCTTACAATTAATTTGCTTTCTCTGCCACCTTTGGATCCGGGATGTTACCATGTTTGTCTTGTCTAGCTTTCTTCCATAAGGTAGATTGATCAATTTCTACCCCGGGCATGGTTTCCTCCAATTGATCCTCCAAACCAGCATATCTTTTTCGAGACAATCGATGATTGTACTCAAGTTTCTCCCTCCTCTGTGATTGTTCAAAATGCACAGACACAAATTGTTCGGATAACCTTGAAGCTACAAAGGCATCCCACTCTGCTTTCTCTATGAATTTATATAGTTCAGGGGGTTGGCTTAATTTCTCCTTCTCCTTCATGAATGGAAGGATATAATGGCTCGTTAGTGTAGACTTGAAATCCTTCCATTTCTTAGCAACAGAAGATAACACCAGTTTCTTGCCCCCTTGACCTACCACAAAAGTCATGTCAACGGCTTCCCAAATCTGCTCTTTTATATCATTAGGGATTTCAGCCCATTTCTTGTCCACAACTGGGACTCTGGAGCGTGCCAACACACCAATGTAGGATTGCATCTCAGTATGTGCAGGGCCACATGCTTTCCCCCTTTTATTGTACTCAACAACTGGCTTGATTTTCTGATATTTTCTCTTCACAACACGAGGCATTGTGCTTATACGTCGACCTGACTTTGGCTCCTTAAAATATGTTGTCGTGCTGCCTGGTTCTGTCTCAGCAGATGAAACAAACTTCATCTTCTTCAAGGACTTGTCTTGAGGATTTACCAATCTAAGCTCCTTACCTCCATTTTTTTTCGAGCCAAAGTCCTTACTTTGGTCTTGAGAAACCATGGTTACAGACAAATCAAACCTGCAAGTGAAAATATTTCA